ATAATGTAAAGACCCTCTTTCGATTCATTTATAGTTATGCTAAACTTAGCGTGTACGTTTTAACGTTCATAGTTTCTAGCTAAACGTTAATTTTTATTTTTATCACTAGAACGTTTTTTGGTAGTCGTGAGATAAATCCTAAATTTACGAGCTTGCTTATAGTTGTTTACCACGTTCCCGTGGTCACCCTTATAAACTTATTTAATTTATTGTGGCTATACTTCCATTAATATACATAATATTCTTGCTTTTTAATTGATTACTTCATTGTTATTCAAAAAGCTTAGCCAAACCCCTCCAACTACAGCCTGACAATAATGCCAAGAAAGCGAAATCCTTCACTTGGACGGGCTACTACTACAGCCAAACGTATGAAAGCACGGAAAAGAAACGTTTTGCAACAAGAAACTCAAATTAAAGTGACACAAAATGCTATTTGTAGAGTTAATGCAAGCTCAGCAGAAACTAATGAGCACTGGTTAACTAGGGGAAGGAACGCTGCCAGAACTCCTAATACTCGAGCTATCAAAACTGAGGGGAAAAGAACACTTCGACATGTAAGAAATGCTACTAGAACTGCTGCCACTCGAGCTGTCGAAACTGAGGAGCAAAGAACAATTCGATGTACAAGAAATGCTACTAGAAATGCTGCTGCTCGAAATTCTGAGAGTGAGCAACAACGTATTGCACGGCAGATACGAAATTCAGCAACTACTGCTGCTACCAGACGTGCGGAGAATGAGGATCAACGTTCACAAAGATTGTCTAGAAATGCTTCAGCAACTGCAACAGCAAGAGATTTGGAGACTCAAGAGCAGCGTACGAGACGACAGAGCAGGAATTCCTCTAGAACAGATTCTGCACTGACAATGGATGGTGTTGAGGATAGCCAAGATCGTTTGGAAAATAATGTGCAAAGACTGGCTGCTCAATAGGGGATTTCAAGACCCCGTAGTCAAATATGGTCAATGGTAGCATTCTATTATGACCCTCGTGCTAATTATTCGAACCACCCTGATGTTCAGCTTGGCAGTATGTCGATTGTCTGTTCACACTGCAGAGGTAAAAGGTGGGTAGGGGAAATTAATAGAATGCACTGCTCAAAGGGTACTTCCGAATTAACTATCATTGAAGATCCACCCCAGCCATTGAAAATACTATTAACTGGTACCACTGTTAGATCTAATCATTTCTTACGCAATATTAGAAAGTATAATTGTGCTTTTCAGATGACCACTTTTGGGGCCAATATTATTAAAGAGGATGGATTTATGCCTACTTTTAAAGTAGAAGGACAAGTATATCATAGAATTGGCTCTTTGCAACCTATGGTAAACGAGGAGCCGCAATTTCTTCAGCTTTACTTTGTAGGTAACTAGCAGGAACAGGCAACTAGGCACAACTCTATTTCACCTGCAACTGAAATGGATATCATTCTTGAGCTCCAGGAAATGCTATACACCTGGAACAATTATGTGCGAGAGTTCAAATACGCTTTAGAAACAGCGGACACGCCAAATTTTTATGTCATCATCAACGCTGACCAGAGATCAGGTGGTGAAAATGGAGGACGTTATAATTCACCTGTTTGCAATGAAATCGCTGCTATTATTCATGGTCACCAACACAATAATACTAGAGATATAGTTCTTTCATCACGTGATAACAAACTGCAGTGCATCAATGAAACCCACCGATCTTATGACGCCCTGCAGTACCCATTACTCTTCGTAAACGGTGGGGATGGATATCATATCGGAATCCGCCAACACAGTAATAATAATTGTGGTCTACAACAAAACCTCAAAATGGTCTCGTGCATGCACTTCTATTCAGTCTACTTTATGACAAGAAAATTTTTTTTTTAATCACATTCATCGTTCACAAGATCTGTTTCACTAATTCGCAGTTGATATGTGTGCTAAAATCAGATTGATTATATAGTATAGCTGACCACTTGTATTCGAGGATACCTGTCTACTAGGGCGACTATCCAAACCCTATTGCAGACGCTCGCTCAGGCAGATTTGTGTTTGTTCAAAACCCACAGATCCAACCTGTGGTTTATACTGCAACCACGCTGAGCAGACCTTTGTTACAGTTTCTGGGAATGAGCGTGTTATCGAGCATGAGCAACAGTTTGAACAAGGTCAACACATTTAAGCCCTCGGCCACGATGACTTGTGACTTTGTGTTAGTACAGATATCGACGGCACCCAAGGGTTCTGTCTACACAATTTCACTCACACGGCTTGGGTCAAAACGTGGTATGGTTTTGCAAAGTTGCCATACGCTGTCATCGACTCCTTCAGTCCGATAACATCAGTAAGTCACCTTCTTGACAAATCGACCATGGTGAGATTCGAACCCGGGTCTCATGATCAGAATGTGAACGTTCTGTTATTTGAAATAGACCCGCCCATTTTTATTTTTTTTGTAAAAAACAGATAAAAAATACAAAAAAGCAAAAATGGAGTGTCTATTTCAAATATTATTATCCACTATAATAACGCTTGAAGTAATAATAATAATAATAATATATATATATATATATATATATATATATATATATATATATATATATATATATATATATACACACACACACTTTCGGCCTTGTGCCACATCTGAGCTACGCTTAGAAAATCACTATATATATATATATAAAACCCGCAGATTCACACGTAGTTATCAAGTGAATTTGGGCAGAATACATCGGCCTCTCTTTTTTGAGGGTTGGACGGGCCCTACTAACATCAGTTTAGTTAAGTTTATTTTGTGTTCATGTTTAGTTTGTTATTTTTTCATCCCCCTTCCCTCTCATTCTTCATCTTTAAATTTTTATACATAATAATTTATTATCATTAAATTTTTATGGCATTGGGTGCGTTTTGTAGGTCCCCCTTGAGAGGATGTGGTATTATGGTATTATAGAGGATTGATTAGTGATGGGCGAATTTTTGTGGTGAATGTGCAAATTGTAATGAGTAAATGGGTCGTGAATCAGATTAGCTAGGTATAAGATAGTTAGTGAAGAATAACCTCAACTCTTCCCCTTTTTTCGTCCTTGTGCCATAATTGTATTTTTATATGCAATAAATACTAGTTATCAAGTGAGTTTTCATCTGAACGTTTCATTTTAAAATGCCCGTCTCTAGTTGGGATCATCTAGTCAATGGGAACGATTATTTCCTTAGCGGTATGCCGCTAAGGAAATAATCGTTCCCATTGACTGAGGGCAAAAAAGTTGAGGGCAAAAAAGTTGCCTGGTACCATTCTTAGTGATATTAGCTTAGTCAGAGAATGAACTTGATTGGTAATCGAATTTGACTTTCCGATTCCCCAATCCGAACAGCAGTCCATTACTCTACCATGCCTCCCGCCTAAACGATTAATATCACTAATCTAATCGATTAATATTCACCACTGAGTTAAGTGTACATTATTTACATTATTCGGACTATTGCCCTAATCTTTGTCGCCATATTTATTACAACAATTTATTACTGGTGTAGACTGTTCTAGTTCCACGTGCCACGTTTTAATCGATGTCCGTTATCAGTTTTCTCCTGTTAATTTCCTAGTGAGCGAAATAAAGGGTTAAGTTTGACATTCCAACAACCTGAAGAAGGCCGGAGCTTACAACGGCCGAAAAGTTGTAATAAATATGGCGACAAAGATGAGAACAATAGTCCGAATAATGTAAATAATATACATCATACCTCATCTCAGAAATATAGACAGATACTGAGTTAAGTGTATTGACAAATAAAGATATTATAGTGATAAAAATGTTGAGTTTAATCAAACTTTTGTGTGGTGCCTGTGTGTCTCTGTGTGTATTCGAGAAATGAAAGTTGTTTTGAAAAACACAATTTAGATAATCAATAATGAATTATTCAATGGTGTCTGTAAAATGCACTGAATTCGTCCACGAAAAGAATTGACACCGTTTTTTTTTTGTTTTTTTTTCAGAGTGAGATTCGCTAGCTTTAGTTGAAGAGAAACAAATATAACTTCCGTTTGTCTTTCTTCATCTTCAAAGCTGGGTCCAATATTGCAAGAACATCAAAGAATTTCCGGAAATTGAATGAGTAGTGATCAAATGTTTTCCCCCCTCATCGACCTTCTTATCCAGCTCGCACTACCACGGTTAACCCCATAATTCGTGTGTCTTTAAGGTCACAGGCAATATTTTTTTTTTTTGGGGGGGGGTCAAACAATAATTGCTTTCATAACCAAGCAATTTCATAAGAGACCTTCTGGGAGATCATCGAGAAAAGAAATTCCGGTATTTAGAGAGGAGGCATAAAGACCCATGTTACCCTTTGGCAGAAATATAATCAGGTTAGGGGAGGACATGTTAATATAAAACGTAATAAGAATCATGATTAAACAACAAGTATTCTTTTTTGTTGCATGAGGCTTATGACCATATCACGTTGAAACGCCGGGTCAGAACGATAAAGTTAAGCAACGTCGAGTCATTTCAGTACAGGTAACCTCTTGGGAATACCAGGAACTGTAAGCTTAGATGTATGGGTGATGTAATAGATTGGAATTGCAGAGCAATTTTCGATTCCAGTCGGGTTCATTATATTCATTTACGCGACAATGCTTTTGGGAAAAGGTAATTTCCTACCTCTTCTCCCCCAGCTATGGGTTAATTAGTTGAACTTCTTCTTCCTCTATGTAGCATGAAGCTTGAGGCCATATCACGTTAAAACACTGGTTCGGGTACGATAACCGAAGGTAAACAACGTCTAGGCAATTCAGTACTTAGATGGGTAACCACTTGGGAATACCAGGTGATATAAGCTTAGATGTACAGAAAGTTAAATGGATAACGGATGGAATTAGAAAACAAGTTCTGATTCCAGTCGAGTTCGTTATATTCATTTACGCGAAAATGCCGTTGGGAAAAGGTAAGTTCCTACCTCTTCTCCCCCAGCTATGGGTTAATTAGTTGGACGTCTTTTTCCTCTACATAGCATGAAGCTTGAGGCTATATCACGTTGAAACACTGGTTCGGGTACGATAACCGAAGGTAAGCAACGTCTAGCCAATTCAGTACTTAGATGGGTGACCACTTGGTAGTACCAGGTGATGTAAG